TATATTGAGGGATTCAGAACGGTGACGATGATTCTTGATTCAGATCGGGTGATTTTGATCCGGATAAGCGATTTTTAAAACCTTGCTTCCAACACTTTCGAGCCTTTTGGAATTATAGAGCGGTTTTATCCTTTGGAGAAGTTTCTGCTGCCCATTGAGGGCTTCAGAGCTATAGTGGACAAACATTGTTCGAGAAGATGGGATTATGGAATCATGGCAAATCAACTTTTATGGTCAGCAAAGTGCCGAATACCCTACACCATAGTATTGAAAAGCATTTTCCTTTGGCTACCAAGAGGCACCTTAAGGCGGGACATGGCCTAGGCACCTCTCCTTAGGTGAGGCGGGTCCCTTTATGTGGCCTAACCCCAATTACTTCAAGCCTCAGCCGAGGATCCTTTATTGAGCAGCCCATAGCTTGAGGGTGGAAAATGCTCCACAGTTGCTTCTAAGTAAATTTTTTTGGCAGATAAATACTTAAATATCCAAAAAAATGGAATTTTGAATATTTAAAAATCTAACTTGGAGAAATATTGTAAAATGTGGACTTGTGTTTACGACTTGTGTATTTGAGTATTTTGAGTTTTATGGTTTTGGACATGTGGCCATCAGATTCAACTATATGGCATTGAGATTTGAAAATGCTTTTATCTTTGAATCTTTGTGGTTGTTATGTCTTACATGTGCCAGATATGATTCAACATTTACCTAGTTCCTTTCAAAGTTTGAAATTTCCCTTTTTAAAATTTTTCGCATGCCTAGTTGGCCGCATCACATCTGAGAGGCCAAGCCACCTTGCTGCCGAGGCATTACCTAGTGCCTTTCAAAACATTTGGTCTACATTTCAAACTGAGGTCTTAAAAATCGTTGATCCAGATCGGAATCGCTCAATCCGGATCAAGAATTGCTGTCATTGTTTCGGATCCCTTAATATATTGGGATCTAGCCGACTTCCCCTTTGAATTGGCCGGCTCTCTGATAGATCCGGTCAGTCTTGTCAGGAATTGACCGATTCTATCAGAATAGAACCGGTCTAAAATAGTTGCCTTTTTTTTTTGAAAGTTAGCATAATTTTAATTTTTTTAAAAAAGATTTGGGGCAGCCCACCCCACTTTTTTTTTGGACGTTGTGCACTCACTAGCTAGCATCACCCTACGTATACCTCCCAATCTTGTGCAAAGATAGCTAAGTAACTTGCACGTGTGGCTAATGCGTACACTCGAGTGTATGCCTAAGGCTCTTCTAAAGCCTCTGGCTTCTTGAAATCCGTGATGTGGGATTTTTTTTTTTTACTTCATACTTTTACGTCGTGCACTATTTTGGTTTCGTAAAAACTATATGAAATGATTTACCATCATCGAGCATTATTGCATGCAGTATATAACTAATTACCAATCCACTATATAACTTTGTTTCTCTCCCCCCTCCCTCCCAACCTTGGCATCTCTCTCTCTCTACAAAATCTGTTTAGTTATTAATTCCACTAAAAATAATTCCACAAATTCTCTCTCTTTACTAAGTAGTACAAACAAATAATGCCACTAACATTCTCTCTTTCTCTATTAACAACCTCTTTCATTCAATTTGTTTCATATAGTTTCTTGCAAAAATCAGAACTCCTAAGTTGATACAATAATAAAATAAATAAATTGAATTTGAGAGATTCATTTTATTGTCAGTATTTATATACTTTTGACACAATAATGAAAAACCATAATGCAATTGCCACTAATTTTTTTGAAACCTTAAAAACTAGATTTTTGAGAAATTATAGTGTTTTTTGAAAAAAATTTAGGCCGATCCGGATCATCGATCCACCTATTTAACACGGTTTTTTGGGTGGCTGATCTGAGTTACTGATCCATTTTTTAAACCTTGCTTCAAACCCCACATCCAAATATATGGGAACTCTTATTTTCCCTTTCAAGACCTGGGAAGCCTTAGTTTATAAAGATTTTTTATCTGGACTCAATTCCGGATAGACATGGTCCCGATCATGATGTCTGGTTGACTCGACCTAGTCTTAACAAGACCCAGCCAAATCTGTCTAAATAGACATGAAAGGCCTGGAAACTGTTAGACTTGGGTGAGCCTTGTGGTATTTCCACAGGACTTTGCAGGGTTTGAGGTGAGTCGACTTGACTTGGGTGAGTCTGGAGTTAACTTGCCAAGTTTTTAGACACTTCAAAAAGAAAAAAAGAAAAGATGCTGAAAAGCCTTTTTTCAACTTGGAGAAAGAGCATCCATATCCCTTCTTTGGTCCCAAAGCAAACACATGGATAAGCCCATGAACCTACATGTTTAGGAGGTTGGACATGCACTCGGAATGTGATTGTGCACGTGCTATTTGCTTTTCTATCATCACTCTTTTAGGCCGATCTGGATCACCGATCCATCGATCCGACATGGTTTTCGGGGAAATTCGGGTTACTGATCCGTTTTTTAAACCTTGCTTCAAACTCCACATCCAAACATATGGGAACTGTTATTTTCCCTTTCAAGACCTAAGAAGCATTAGTTTATAAAGATTTTTTTTACCTGGACTCAATTCGGGATAGATAGGGTCCTGATCATGGATCATGATGTTTGGCTGACTCGGCCTAGTCTTAACAAGACCCAGCCAAATCTGTCTAAATAGGCATGAAAGGCCTGGATACTATTAGACATGGGTGAGCCTTGTGGTATTTCCAAAGGACTCTGCAGGGTCTGAGGTGAGTCGACTTGACTTGGGTGAGTCCTGAGTCAACTCGCCAAGTTTTTACACACTTCAAAAAAAAAGAAGAAAAAAAGAAAAGATGCTAAAATGCCTTTTTCAATTTGGAGAAAGAGCATCCATATCCCTTCTTTGGTCCCAAAGCAAACACATGGCTAAGCCCATGAACCTACATGTTTAGGAGGTTGGACATGCACTTGAAATGTGATTCTACACATGCTATTTACTTTTCTATCATCACTCTTTTAATGTTGATATTTATGCATTAACAAATAAAATTTGTATTTTACAATTTTAATGCTTTTTACTATCTTCCATGTGTAGTAAATGAGTTTGTTTATTTCAGATTTGTTTTGTAAATCAAATCATTGAGCTGAAGTTCTGAACCTTGCTTGCTTGCTTTCTGATTTGACAGAGCACTATTTCTATACTTACAAACCTTGAAATCCATAAAAATCTGAAGCCTTTCTTTCTCCCTTTTCCAATAAAAATTACGTCACCGTTTTTATGTTTCATAGGGATTTGTAGTGTAGTGACCTTGTTTGCGTGACAAGGCACCAGAACCATCCTCAACCCTCTCCCTCTCTCTCACATACGCACACATTCAACCAAATATTGAAAAATTGGTGGCTCAGGCTTGGATTTGCTCCAGTCACTTGGATCTGGCAGGATGCTGGGCTGTATAGAAAACACTGAGATATGGGCCTAGTCTCAATGTGTCACAACCTATATGTGTCTAATTTGGTAGAGAGTCTGTCGGGTCAGACTGCCGACTCGGTCGAGTCAGTGTCTGACTTGGTCCCGGGACCCTGCCTAATCTGGGATTTTAATCATTGCACAAAGCACAAAAACACGCACAAACTCTATCTTCATGCACAAAGATGCAGATGCCTACAATTGCTTCATCCTCATCACCTGTCTGTACATGTCCTCCTCTGGCCAGGATTCAGACTAGGTTACATTGGTGCCTTCTAGAACCCTAATGAAGCTCTGATACGCTTACTGCTGGTTGCACCTCTAATTTTGCTTCCTAACCACTTTGTCTGCCTCTGTCTAACTTCAACCATCCCCATGGCATTTTTGTTTTCCTGTCCATGATGCACCCACAGGGTCCCCAATGATAAGGTTACTTGGATCTGAAGTAAAACCGAATGAAGCTTGGCCATTCTTTTCTGCTAACTTTCAAATTTCATTCTTACATTTGGTTTGAGTCTAGAGAGACTAAAGATAGATAAAACATGTAAACCAGTCAGCCTTAGGAAATGTATAACTAGAGTGAGATTTATTTATATTAAAAAAAAATTGGGGGTCAGGTTTGCCAAAGATGCTTGGTATCACTTCCTTGTTCATGCTGTTGACATGACTATTTGTTTTCCATCAAGGGACCTACCGCAGTCATTGTTGAGTTGTTTCTTGGAGACTACCAGTAGTGGTTTGGCTAGATGCAACCTTAATTTTCAAAGACAAAAACAAGAGAATAGTTGGACAGCCTTTTTCAATTGAAGCATTTTAACTCTTACTGGACAACTATCACTCATGGTGGGTCATGGCCTCACTTTATTATGGATGTTATCGTGGCCATGTACAAGTATTGGATACTTGTATTACTTTTGAAAAGAATAATAAACATAACAGAAAATAAAATACAAATCTTAGAAGGAATTATAAAACCAAAGATAATGAATAGATTTAATTTGGGAAAGGATGTTAGCGTTTTGGTGGTGGCTCACTGGATCTTATGGAGTGATCTTTTGGACTCTTAACTATTATCTTCTGAATCGGAGATGCAAAACAAAAATGATGTAAAAAAAGTTATCCTTCTCAACTTAATTTGATTAGTTTTGTAGATATCTGAAATATATTTTTATATAAGTTTCTGTATCGTTTTATTAGTGACGCTTTGAAGCTCCTGCTTCTTAAAGTGCCCAATGTTTTAGTCTCTTTTTTTTTTGGTGTAATGCCTATGGTTCTTTAATCCTTTGATCTAGTTTGAGGTGTGAAGACTTCGTCTTCCTTTTTTTTTTTTCTATTAAATATCAACTCCTGCCATAATACCGAAGCTCTGCATGCTATTATAAAGCAGTGGATACATGGATATTCATTAACCACTCCGGGATCTTATGCTTTATTGACGAGGTCCTTATAATATTCCTTGTGCATCAATTGAAGCTTAAATATCAAAAGCATGCATGTTGAGAATTAATAACACCCCCCTTCCTGGGGTGGTCTCTATGTGTATATGTGTGTGGACACACGCGTGTCTGAAACATATTTGTGGCTTGAACAGCACATTCAAGAAGATGGCTCCCAAGGCAATCAAAGAGATAAGGAAATTTGCTCAGAAGGCAATGGGGACCACAGATGTTAGGGTGGACGTTAAGCTCAACAAGCACATCTGGAGCCGTGGAATTCGTGGTGTGCCCAAAAGAGTGCGGGTTCGTATTGCTCGTAAGAGAAACGATGAGGAGGACGCAAAAGAGGAGCTCTTCTCTCTTGTCACTGTTGCCGAGATCCCACACGAGGGCTTGAAAGGTCTTGGCACAACGGTCATCGATGAGGCAGATTAAGTCCCCTCTCTCTAGTTTAAATCCTACTCTCTTTTTGCTCCTAGCATAAAGACAAAATGGTTTGGTTTCTTTTGCTCTTGCTATTCTTCAGTTCTAGAGTCTGTCTCTGTGTGATTTATATATGGATGGAAGTTCTGGGTTGAGATATTCTTTATGAAATTTTGGTTTTGTTGTTTGGTTTGCAGTTATTTTCAGTGGTCTTGGTTCATGGTCTAGAAACCGATCCCACCTTTGACCATGTTTTACCTAGTATTTGATGGTTTTAGAAAGCATTTATTTTCTACGAGTGCTTTCGATGCATTTTTGTTTTCTAATAGCCCTTACTAATTGAGGCATGATTATATAATATCTTGGACAGAAGTGGCCCCGGCTTCTGTTTTTGGGGTTCTCCTTAAAATCTGAGATCAATTTGGGACCCCCCGTGCCAACTGGAAGCAGGATTTGGGAAACATCGGGTTGGGAATTGATTGAGTTGGGACATATGGTTGTGGCAGTGTGTAGTAGAATTGAATGCATGATATTTTGTTTATTGGATTATGGGGTATGGGGCTTAAACTATGAGCTGGCCATGTGCAAGAATCCAAGGGATGTGTATGTGAGAGAGAGAGGGAGCCTTTTTTGGGTTGGAGAGTTATTTCATCATCGGAAAAGCATACAATGAAGATGGCGAGTATAAAATAAGATCATTAACATATATGATACAAGGTCGCAATCACCTTTTGGCCATCTGGGGCTTAGAGATGCGTTTAGGTTGTTTGGGCGGTTGGATGTGTTTAGGTTAAAGAAAGTTTTTTAAACTTTGTAATATAGACAATGCCTTTAGCCATCACATAAGAAAGAATAAAGGATGTTTTGCATTTGCACTCTTAAGTTGAAAGATTTTGTTTGTGACAGCTAAAGGCGATAATAATCTTTTTTGTATCAAATAAAACTAATTTAAGAGACTTTAATTTTTTGTTGTTTTTTGCTTTTTGTTTTTGGTGGGTTGCCGGGGTGGGAGGGTGATATTTTTTTCGAGTATCATTGTAGGGGTTCAAGAGAGGATTTTCGGCGATAAGGGTATCACCTTATGTGCATAAAAAATTACCTACATAAAAAATCTGTGTACCTTGATTTTAGAGAGAACATTTATATTAGTAGCACGTGAGAGAACCTATCTTGATCCCTGAGGATATGCAAAGAATCGCATTTTGATACTTGAGAGGATACAGTTTAAATGTCTGATACCCCACGAAATTTTAGTCTACTGTGCCCACCCACTATATAACGCCATTTAATTTGATTATAGTATTTGTTACCTTTTAATTAGGTGTTGGTGGGCTCCTTCCCAAAGACCTGTCAAGTAATTACCTTGGTGCATTGGATATTTGAGGATAATATTTATGACGCGTATGTTATCCGGAGTTGTAGCGTTCCATCTATTAGATATGCTACTTCCATAACTCCATTTAGAATTTGACAAAAATATTAGATGTAAAATTGTAAGACAATGAGTAACGAAAACACCGTCACTTGTTCAAAATAAAAAATAAAAAAATTTGTAAGAAAATGCAATAATTTTGTTTGGGGGTCTGCATAAACAGCCTGCTAGAGAATTTCACTAGTATGATGTCAACAATGTTAGCAAGTATTGTTTTTCTACTAATTTGTCAATTTTTTCTTTTTGGTGGGTATTGGAAAAGAAATAAGTCACTAGATATTATATTGACTTAGTGAAAGATATGTACAAGGGAGTGCTACTCTTAACTAGTGTGCGAACAATTAATAGAGATGAGTGAGCTCTAAGTGACAATAAACCCACACTAAGGGTTAGCGTTGAACCCATATCTTTGTATTAGTTATGAGCGATTTAACTAGGCATCTACAAGATGAGATACTGTGGTGTATGTTGTTTGCGGATGACATGGTTTTAATCAATGAGTACCTAAAGCAACTCAACACAAAGTTCAAATTTGGATGAATGCTCAAGAATCTAAAGGTTTTAAAATTAGCCAGACTAAGACAAAGTATATGAAATACAAGTTTAGTAATAATAGGAGTAGGAACAAGGAAGTAGTTAATATTATTGTCCAAAAATAACGAAAAGTGTGCATTTTCTATATCTTGGGTGGATAATCCAGGAAAATTGAGAGATTGAAGAAGAGGTCGCGCATAGAATTAAAGCTGGGTGGGTGAAGTGGAGATATGCAATTGGACTTTTTTTTTGTGATCACCGCATACTGATGAAACTGAATAGGAAATTTTATAAGACAGTTGTGAGACCAGCTTTCCTTTATGGAGCGAAATGTTGGTCAGTCAAGAAACAACATATTCAAAAGATGAGTGTAGCTGAGATTGAGGTGTTGAGATGGATGAATGACAAAACATGAAGGGATAAAATTCAAAATAAATATATTCAAGAGAACTTAGGTGTAGCTCTAAGATGACATAAAGTAAACTTAGGAAGATTGGCCTTCTGTAATTTAGTAGAACACATGTTAGGAGGTGGGAGTTGGTTCAAGAGGACGATACAAAAAGGGCAAAGAGTAGGCCCAAAAAGACATAGTTAAAAGTAGTGACGAAATATATGGGGATTTATGGCCTCACAAAAGGCATGACCCTTGATAGAGCAAAGTGGCTTATTACAATTGCTGTTGTTGACATCAAATAGTTGGAAAAAAACTGATGATGATTACGATGTTGAGTTTTTCTTTTCAAGCAGGTGATATTTCTCAATAGTTCATTGTTGACAATTAGAATGTTCTTCTCTTTTTTTAATGTTGTTGGCAATGGGACATATGAGGACCTCCAAGTACATTGTTAGAAGTCGAATGCTAACATATCATGAAAACTTTTTATGAATATAGTACTATTTTGGTGCATCCCTATAAGTCCCATAACTTAATGCGTTTGTCTTGAACATGGATTTTGGATCTAAAATTCACGTCTATCTCATGAACCTGGAACAAAATAAAATATGAGGCCTAAAATTTTTTTTTCCTCCCGTCTTTTTTTGTTTGGACAACTCATTTCAATTATTTCATAATTAGCTCCAAATTCATTGATATGTGACGAAAATAGATCTACAGTAGTTTAAAATGTGTTTTGGATCTTAAAATCATGACTTTAGTCATCATCATCATCATTCGAGTCTTATCTCAACTATTTGGAGTCGGCTTTCATAAAAAGTTATGGTAGAATTTTAAGCTGGTTGCTAACTTAACATAACCCTTCTCCTTTCTTTGAGCTTGGAACTGACATGACCAACTTAGGACCGGCAATGGCTAAAGGGTGTGTGGTTTGTATAAAGGTGAGGCCCTAAATAATCAAAGTGAGGCACACTTTTAAATAATGTCTCAGGATGTCATTTCAATGCCAAAAATCTTTATGATGACCTGAAAATTTATTTTTATCTCTAGTTATAAAATTGGTATTGAAAAATCTTTATGATGGCTTCAAAAATTTATTTTTATTCCTAATTATAAAATTTAAAGTTTCAAAAATGGTATAAATCAAGCAGATCTATGAATACTTGGAATTCTTGAAAATTGATAATGCATTACAAAATGCACTATTTCTAAAGGGAAAGTATAGAATGAGACCATTTACTTTTGATACAAGGTGGTCACATTAATCTTGACCATTGGATGTGAAATTGGGTGGATGCAATTATTCCATTGACCAAGCTCAAACTTCAAAAAAAAAATTATCGAACTTCGTGACACATCCAAGATATTAAATTTCACATCAAATGGTTGTAAGGAATTGTGACCACCTTGTATCAAAGGTAAATGGTCTGATTGTATATAATCCTATTTCTAAAATGGTAAGTATATGATGAGACCATCTACCTTTGGTACAAAGTGGTCACAATAAATCTTGACCATTGGATGTAAAATTGGGTGACTGTATTTATTTCATCGACCGAGCTTAAAGTTAAAAAAAAACTTTGTGTTGCACTTAAGCTATCAAATTTAATATCGGATGGTTGTAAGTAATTGTGACCTCCATATTTCAAAGGTAAATGGTCTCATTGTATACAATCCCTTTCTAAAAATTTCAAATACACAAAAAAAAAAAAATGAACGAACCACAAAGGGAGAAACCGCCAATACAAAGTCCCGCAAGGAGCAGCGAGAGAGGCAGGAGACTTTCTTCTGTTCGTCCTGGAGTAGCACCGAATAATTCTCTGTAATCCCGGCACATCAACTGATCCTTGAATGAAAATCTCGGGAGAGTAGTCTACGATTGAAAGAGAGAGACAATCGTTCGCGAGGTAACAAAGAGAAGATCTTTATTATTAACGTAATATTCATTTTGCTCATTCTTGGAGTTGTATTTAATACCTCTAAGAAAGATGGTTATCCATCTGCATTTATTTCATTGACCAAGTTTAAAGTTAAAAAAAAAAAAATCTCGAACTTTGTAACACACTCAAGCTATCAAATTTCAGTTGTAAATAATTGTGACCTCCATAATTCAAAGGTAAAAAATCTCATTCTATACAATCCCTTGCTAAAAATTAAAACCTCTTTTCTCTACGTCTATGTATCTCGAGGGCGAGATGATCGGATTTGAGAGTTTTACGGCATGAAAACAATTTCTTAGAGTGAATTTTAGAGGTGAGGTTTTAATTTGTGATTGTTTAGGGCTCAGCCTTGTATGAACATTTTCCACGGCTAAAATGTTGATTTTAGTTGGATAATGAGAACTGTAACGCATATGATTGAAAACCAAGGTGCGCAGGACACCAGGGCCACCACACATTCCCACTTGTGACTTGTGAACGCCAAAAGGAAACAAAAGACGATGGTGTAAGTCACTTTTGCCACGTGGTGAACTCCATCCCACGTCATCTGCCACGTCAGGGACAGCTTATCACTCAATTCTGTGGACCATGGTGCACCGCCACTAAGTTGAACGGACGCCATTATTTTGACGCTACGTCTTATTATTTGTGGGCCGCAATTTTCCGAAATTTCGTGTTATTAAATCTTTCCATCACCATGATTTAGCGACGTAGCCACTAATAAATGTCCCAAAGGTTTTCGTGTTATGAACGGAGGTTCAAATATCGGAATCACGGATGTTAAGGAGATGGTGGATATATCGTTACGTAACGTTGATTGTTTGTTAGGACAGAAGATACGGAAAAGCCATAGGAAAGCAAGAATAAATTGGAAGTATACGAAATAATGGAGCAGGGTTT